CACTTGCCATATTTCCCATGGTCCCACTCTGGCCTGGACGCTATCACTGCCAATATCCATACTCTCCTTTTCCAGGGTCCCATTTGCTGACCACCCTTCCTATCTTTCTAGAATCAATTCTTTGAATTGCCCAAGACCTGATGTGGGCTCTTCTTCCTCCTCCTTGTTCTCACTTCTACATAGACTCACTTTTTTCTACCCTGTTGTGATACATCACAAGAAATGCTCCTTTGCATACAATCTCAGTTTGATCTAACTAGTTTACTATCCTTTTAGAAAAACCCTGGTCCTGGTTAAAGCGAAACCTCTTGGCTTTATGCCTATGATGGGTTTCAGGACACATTATCCCAAAGTTTGGCACCTTGACATTTGAGGAAATATCAAAAACAAGAAGTTCTCTCTGATCGTCTCCCACCACTTTCCCCTGAAGCAGGCCATAAAAGAATTCTCTGACCTTCCTATGAAGTAGGTTGTAAAACTTTCCAATCAAAGATGCCTTGCCTGTACCTGGAGGAAGAAACATTCTTATCCTTGAAGAGACAGGAATTCAGAGAATAATCTGAACAAACAGATCAGATCATTGGTAACCACCCACCTCCATAGTTCATTACCATTAGGCCATAACCTTCTGTACTACAATCACAATCCTATACAACTATCTATTTTTCATTAAAATTAGCTTAAAAATATAAATATTTCTCTCTTTCTTTGGACCTTCATTTCTGAAGGCTCTTCTGTCACATGAAATTTATATTAAATAAATCTGTTGGCTTTGTTTTTGTCAATCTGTCTTTCAACAACTATCAACATGGTGATGAGTTAAGAAAGAAATCTTTTATCTTTTACACCTTCATCTCCATCTGAAGGCTGGAAGAAATGAATACTTATGCTGAATTACATTTATGATTACAGATTTCTTTTTGGGATTTGTTTTGCTTTATTTTTGGTCCTGGGGATTGATTGCAAGGATACTTTACCAACAAGCAACATCCCTGCCAGGATTTTTAATTTTTTTGTATGGAGAGAGGGTTTCATTAAGTTTCTTAGGGCCTTTCTAAGTTGCTTAGGCTGGCCTCCAATGGATCATCCTCCTGCCTCAGCCTCCTGAACAGCTGGGATTACAGGTATGCTCTACCACACCTGGCTATATATTTCTTTAAATATCTATTTCTTCTGGATCTTTAGTGTGCCCAATAAACTTGTCACATTTTTATAGTTCTTTATTCTCCCACTCCCTTACAGAGCAATTTTACTGCTTTTTCAGACTTTAGAGACTTAGCAAGAGCTGCCCCAACCCCATAAAACCATCTACAATAAGCTTTGTGTTTCTGCACATGGCTATGGATGTACTACTGTGTTCTTGCTTTGGGCTGAATGGTTATGTTCCCCCCGAGTTCATATGTTAAAATCCTAACTCCCAATCTTAAGAGGTTGGGTATTTGGGACAATGATTTGATCATGAGGGAGGCTAGAACCCTAAAAAATAAGATTAATGCTCTTATAAGAGAAGCCAAAGACAGCTAGCTGGCCTCTTCTGCCAGGTGAGGTTATAGAGCAAAATGATACCTGTATTGCTTTGCCTTCATCTTGGACTTCCAGCCTCCAGAACTGAGTGATGACATTTCTGCTGTTATAATTTACCAAATCTAAGGGACTTTGTTATAGCACCCTAAAGGGACTAAGAAAGTTCTTAATTGAGGCAAAGTCGTTTAAACTTATGCTTCCCCTTTTCAAGAAAATCAGTCCAGAAATTCTCCTTTTCTCTCTGGTTTGAACAAGTTTTCCCTATCCATTGTAGCATTGTCATCAAAGGGAAAATCTGATAAACTTTCTTTGCTCTATAATTCTTAATAATTACATCACTTGCACTCAATTTATTCCTACCCATTCTCCATTGAATACCTTTTATCAAGTTTTGCTTATACCATTACCACCACTACTCAAAACAACAAAAAGGCATGAAAATGTCTGTTTTTGCTGATACCCGCAGTGACCTCCAAATTGCTAAATACAGTATTAAATTCTGTGTTCATATCATTTAGCCAATCAGTAGCATCTTCCATGGTCCATTACTCCCTCTTCTTCTTCTTCTTCTTCTTCTTCTTCTTCTTCTTCTTCTTCTTCTTCTTCTTCTTCTTCTTCTTCTTTTTAAATTTATGGGGTTTTGAGATTTCACATTCACTTTTTTTTCCCTCTTATTCTTTGATTATTCCTTCATGAGCTCCTCTGATTGGACCTCTTCTCCCAATTTCTAAATCCAAGCATTCCCCAGACATCTTAGACCTTCATTCAAATTCTTAACAACACAGTTAGGACATCTCCCAAATTGACACTCCCCATTTGGATCTCTCCTTGGTACTCTGGATACAGCTGAGATAGGGATTTGGAGATAAAAGTAGAGAAACTGTCTCAAATGAAACATCCATAAAACTCTAAAATGCAGAAAACACCAAGAGTCATTGAGTGGCAGCCAATGCCCATGACTGTTGCACTTTTGAGTAACCCAACCCACACCCTTTGTCTTCATCCTTAACTAATGTCTTTGCCTGCAAAAAATAAGAGGGCAATGTGCAAGCCCAGGAAAAACTGGCATGAAATTGTGTACTTCCACACTGAGTCCAACTTTAGTCCAGCCCCTAACATTCCGTACCAACTGGCTCTGTTTTCTCCCTCTAGGGATGGTCCACATTCTCCTTTGAATGTGCCCCTGCTTTCCTAAATAAATCTGTCCATGTCTCTGGCTTGTGTGGAAATTCTTTTCCATCAGGGTATTCCAAGAACTCCCTGTTCCCTGAGTCAAGTTCCCCCTTATCTCCAGGAACTCATTGAACCTTTCTTCAAAGACATCTTTTCTCCTGTGACACAACTGCTAAGTTCTAGTATAACATTCATTTTGAAAATGCAAGTTTGATCAAAAGATATTGATTGATATTAGGGCAAAATTTAAGCATAATGGTAATTTCAAATTTGCTCTTTTTAAAAAAAAAATTCTGCCTCTTTTTTATATTACAGAAAACTATCTATATATGAATGTATGTTTCTTAGAAGTGGGAATTTTAATTGTTTTTTGGCTGTATTTAGCTTTTGTATTTTGTTTTAAGTTGGTTTTTATTTTATTAAATTAATAAATAAGGAATTCAAGAGATCCTGTGAAGTCCATAATGATTACATGAAAAAAATCTGTAGATATTTAACTTTATGAAATGAAAAATCAAATCATAATTCATGTGTTGAAAGTGGTCCTTAACCAAAAACCAAATTAATAATATAATTCTAATGATGAACAATAGGTCCTTTTTTGAGCTTCAGTATTAGCCTACTTTACCAAAAATGTTCACATAGCAATTATAATGTGAAATATTAGGTCTAGTTATGGATTTTTAGAAATAAACTCAGTTGTTTAAAAATGATAGCATTTAGCATTTAAAATACTATTGCTAATACTTTTGTTTTTGCTGGCTTTATTGCTTTAACCTTTCTTAAATATAATTTTTCATGTCTTTGTTACTAAGATATTATACATTTATCAAAGAAAATTTAGACTCAGAAAACAACTTTATCATTTATAATTCTATTATATTATAACATTTTGAAGTCTGCTCTTTGGGTCTCCTTAACCTGCATAATAGCTACTTCTTTTTAGATGGACAGTATTTACATAATGTAAATAATGACCTCCTCTTTTTATTCTCTGAAAGCTTAAAGTATCATTTGCAATTTTCTACAGGATGAAAAGGAAAACCAAAGAAAAAGCGAAATAATCAACAGAATAAATAAAATAGATGTTCTAAAATATATTCTTGCAGAAAAGTTATTATTCACAGAACTATTTGGTCTCTTATTTATACCTGTTCTGTTCTTACTTTGCAAAATGTCATATGCATAGCTATCCAGTTTTTAAGATAGATAGAGTTACTGCTATAGGTATCCACACTGGAGACTGTCAGATAAAAGCAGGAAAGAACACAACTACATGAAGACTGACTTAAGTATACAAAATGGAGAGCAGTATGAGGACCATGAGGGACACAAACAGACCTATGGCTCTATTGCTCCTGAAGTCATAGTTTTTCAGCCACTTTAGTAAAGAATCTTTATGCATTATTGAAGGAAAAAATAATTGTTGGAGAATTTTCTGAGTAAAATGGCAATCCAGGTAGTTAAGGAAAAAATAAAAAGTACTAAATTTCTAGTTACTGGAAATCTCTGACTCTAGAATGATTTGTTTTTCAGAGATAACCACTTAAGCACTGTAGTTGGAATATTGGCTTTTGCATTGAGAAGTAGTTGTCTACAAATGACTCATTAAAAATCTGATAGGAAGATGTGTGACTCAAGACAAGAGTGAAATCTTTAATTATAATATTGCTCTTTCTTATGTGGTTAATGAAGGGAAATAGGAACCTAATGGAAAGATTCATATACAGAAATAGAGGAAGTGAGATTAATTATTAGGGTGGGGTCAGAATTCTGCAGAGAGATCCATATTCAAAAATGAACGGACTAAATCGAGTCTGTGGAAATACTTCTCTGGTTGTCTCCTTATCATCTTTGACCGGAGACAACATTTCAGTCAAATGGAATGGGTCCCATACTCCTTAGAAACCAATCCCAAAGGAGAAATTTCTGGGGCATCATTGTTTGGAATGACTGGGTGTTAGGCACAATGTTGAAAAAAAAAATAGATCAGATCTCTGAACTATATTATCTGATATGTAACTGGTAAATAATGACAGAAACAGAATTAGAAATCTCTTTGATTAAAGAAAGCAGGGAGACCAGGATTTATAAACTCTTCTGTTCACACTGTGCACATCTCATTTGTGTTGACATATCAGTTAAAATTCTTCCAGGCCCTTCTCATAATAAGTCTCCATAGGAAGGGAGGGACACCATTGCCATAGTTAATGAGATAGTAGGTGACTTCATTTATTCCATGTTGAAAATTAGTTGAATAATTTTTCATTTTCTAAAATTATTATAATTTAAAGAAAAATTACCTTTAAGGCTGTTTTGAACTTCTAAAGCTATATCAAGAGCATTAAAGGGCAGAACTGGTTCATTGGCAATTTGCAAAATCACTTCTCCTGAGAGCTGAAATGAAAAAGAAAAAATAATTAGCATTTGGTAATTAAGAGTTTGCTTGTTTTTTATTATTATTATTTCATGTATTTTATACATCTAGAGTATAAAAACACAGAAGGAAAACTAGAATTTAATAAAATCTCTATTTTCTTAAACTCCCTTTTATATAAACATGACATTTTGTTCCTTTTCTTTTTGAGCTAAACTATTATGAAGTATCTCCTCTAGTTGAAGGAGCCATAACCAGGTTTAAAATATTTCCTTATACAATAGGTCAGATCACTATCACACGAACAGTTGAGATCCACAATCTGCTTATCAGACTAATTAAAACTACAGACAGAATTAATGCTCAATTTATTTCACTTAAAATATAATTCAATATAAAGCATTCCTTTAATATTTTAGGAACTATTTTCCTTAATGTTTTACTCTTCCTAACCATGTTTCCAAATGTCAAAACCAATTCTATTTATATATTTTTTCAGATCAGTATTTAAATTTTTAAAATGAATAAAATTTCAAACTGCATTTCCACAGTTCATATCTCCAGTTCATGTACATGCATATTCTACCAACAACCCATCTGAACTTATATTAGAAAGCCAACATAAGCACCACAGCTGAACCAGATCTGTTTAATAGACTCAACTAGTCATATGTGCTCAAACACACATCTCAAAGGACTGCAAGGCTGGCAGCAAATGTCATTGTTCTCTCTCCCTCTCTCACATAACTGATATTTAATATTTACCTAGGCTTAAGAAATGTCCCTATATCTTTTAAAACTCTGAATCCAGCACCCAGGGAATGACTTATGTTGAGATTATTAATGCACTATGAAATGTGAGTAGTGAATGAAGACATTGTGTTGTGAAACCACACAGGGAAATCAGCACACCACCTTGAGACAGTAAGGAACACATAGAAGATATAAACTTACAAGGAAAATAGAATTTTATAATTCAAAAAAAAATATATATATATATATATATATATTTAACAAGAACCAAATATCATTTAACATTTAAAATTATATTTCTAAATTGTTCCTAAAATTCATATTGTGATAAAAATATAATTCAATTTGATTTGGGAAAATGTGTTTTCTAGAAACAAATAAAAGAAAGAAGCACCTTTGATCCACCTTCATTCCTTTGAGGTACGTTTCCCTGCAAATGTAGTAACCAGTACTTCTTCAATGACTGGTATGTCTTTGCAGAGTTTTCTCCCCAGCATAGTGATCACAAATATTCTGGGAAACTGCTGGCATGGATCATGCTGCGCTACAGGCAAGGAGAATTGTCTGCAATAGGTTGATATGAATCCTCTTTCTATTCCACCCACCCCATCCAAATTGTGTAAGGGACACTGATATTTGGAAATAAATTATTTGTAAAAAGAAATTTYTAAAGAAGATTAAGAAGCATTATGGTTTCCGTTTCCAATTTGCACTGGATAATAGAAACTACAGAACAGACAAGTTTTGTTTACACTTTTGGAATCTGAAAACCACACATTACAGAAGATTAAAATGAAAGAAGGCGGAAGGAGGAGAAAGGCGACCTTGTGTGCTGCTAGAGAGACTGACTTGTTTTGTTATTTTTTTTTTAATTCATTTGGCAGCTCCTATAGCTAGAATTTAAGCCAACCACCTTTCTATTTCTCTCAATAAGAACCTGGCAATAAAAGTGGGACTTCCTAGGCACCCGGCCCATGATAAAATGCTTAGACTAAATCAGCCTATTTGCAGTTTCATAAGCAGTAGGGAAATTTGTACACCCCTGTCACCATGTGAGAAGAGATGAGCCAAGCTGCACACTTTGTCACTCACTCTGGAATTCAGTATTTGTTGGGCACACCAGGGCAACTGCCCCTTATGTTTATGGAAGTTCTTATTCTTTTCCAAGTGCTTTATACTTATCTCATTGCATTATGTTGACAATCTTAGAGGCTGGTAATGGGAGAATTAATATCTTATGCTAAAAACACTGAGATCAACAATGCAGGAGGCTGAAGCAGGAGGATTGTTGCAAGTTCAGGGCTGGCCTCAGCCACTTAACAAGACCCTAAGTGAAACCCTGTCTCAAAATAAAAATATAAAATGGGCTGTGGACAGAGCTCAGTAGAAACCCTGGGTTCATTCCCAAGTAAATAAATAAATTAATAGAAAAATAATAATAAAACAAAACCCAAATATTGATAATCAAAATTTACTGAACATCTACTAGATATATCCTATACTTTTCAAAAGTTTAGATATTTTCAAACATGATTCTTTAATTTCACAACTGCTCAGCAAGACAAGCATTTTGCATTCATATCATAGAAAATTAAAGATTGTAGAGATTAGGTAACTTTCTCAAGTCATTCCCCAAATTTGACTGATTTGAAGGTCTATGCTGTTGGCTTTGCTGTAGCATAAAATGTATAGTAGGATCCAGCAGAAGTCTCTCAGCTGGTTGTTTGTAAAAAACTACAACTACCATATTTCACCTCACAATCATTGCCACTACATAATCGTCACATTCTGTTTTTTCATCCAAACATTGGTTTATAACCTTTCATTATGTGGTTGTTGCATACTATAATTCTGCATAAGAGGTAAACAGAGCTGCACGGTATTCACCAGTGGCACATGGATGAGCATTTGTCTTCTCACTCACTGAAAGCATGAAGCCAACAATTCTCAGTTCATGCACATTGTCAGTAGCTTTCCAAAAGCTCACTTGCAGGGTTTATTCAGAGTGCTGCAGTATTAATGGCAAACACATCTTGTGTGAGTGGTGCAGAGGACAGCACATCACACAATGAAACCAATGATAGGGAATGAAACGGGCCAAAGCAGTAGAGAACCTTCTAACAGAAGATGAAAGTTTCTAAGTTTATACTTAGCAACACTGTAGTACATTTTCTCAGTTTGACTATAATTCACAAATCAATAACATCTAATCTGTTACCATTTTTCCCCCCAGGGTGGAAAAATGTTTGCTAATCACAGAGAAACAATGCATGTTGATTTGGATTATTCGATTTTAATGTATATTCACGGGAATTCTATGTATTCTAATCTCACAACAAAGACAATTTAGTAATAAAGATTTTCAAGTAATACTGGCACAGTTGTTTTCAAAAGCTTTACATATTGGTTGTCCCCCATTTTCTTGCAAAGCAATTTTCCATAATCATCTGCAATGATTATGTGGTTAAATACAGTGGATCTGGCTCCTTTACTGTTATTTCTACTATACAACCATCTTTTCTAATATATATATTTGTAATATTGGCCAGTATCTATACTATGTTATCTCAACCCCTTAATGATTATGATATTTAGATCTCCATGTGTAGTGTTTGAAATTTTCTTTCAAATACAGGTATAAGAAACTCAGTCTCTAATTCATATGTGAATGGAGGTGGGGGGTGCTTTGAGAGGTCATGACAATTAGATCAGTTCCTGAGGATGGGTCCCCGTGATGAAATTAGTGATTGTAAGAGGAGAAAGAGACCCAAGCTTGCACCCTCTTCAGCTCTTTCACAATGTGATGGTGTGATGTCTTCCACCATGCTGTGACAGCAAAAAGGCCTTCACCAGGTGCTAGCACCTTGATATTGGACTTGGGCCTTCAGAACTGTGAGCTGAATAAGCTTCTACTGTTCATAAATTACCCAGTCTGCAATATTCTAATGACACAAAGTGGACTAAGACACTGCAGCACACTTCATCAGCAAAGAGTGATTCAACTTCTGTGAAATTCCATTATTATAACTTTACAAGGACAAACTATGCCTCATGACCCTGGTGTTCTTCCTTCTATACACCTCTTAGACCATTTTACTCCTGGTCAAAAGTTGAAGAAAAAGTGAATTGGACAGAAAAAATTATTATGCAGAACAAAAATATTTTAAATTATAAAATAAATTAATGATCACGACATTGCAAAGGCATTCCTTTATTACTAAATAATATTGACCCTAGTGGTCTCATTGAGGTTGGGCAAGGTCTGATTGTCAAAAAAATTATTAATTATACATCAAGTATTTTAGATTTTAAGGGTAATAATGGAAAATTATAGTTATCTCAAATAAAGTTTGCTTTTTCTCCAACCTGATACAATTTTAGTTGTATTTAAAGGTTCTTAAGAGTATTTTAGGAAAGTTTTACACAGGAAAGCTTCATTTGGGGGGAAAATATTATATACACTCACACATAGATGTAGCATACATTTTAGATTTTTTCTTAAATTTAGTAAAGAATAATAATAACCTCTTTCATTTTGCCTTATGGGATGTGCTTATTTACTCTGACTCTGTCACAAATCTAGATCAGTTTGGAGGGGAAAAAAGAGAAATCTTTATTTCCTAAACTGTGAATACCTAGAAAATAGGGCTATTTTTCTACCCTTAATTATTGTAGCCCATTACTCAGCATGGTGACTGTATTTGCAGTAAATGCTTCGAATGGATTTATTAGTCAAGGCACAAACAATGTAGTTGGATATAAATAGGTTCACTAAAGCAATAACAATACCAAGGCTCTATAATGTAATTTTTCTTTAGTTGCAGGCCAAGAAACTCATTGCACATTGTGTGGTTTGTTTCATTTTTATAAATTCATAGTAAAGTAAGCAGAGTTCGTATCTCATACATGAGCTGTAAGTTAAAACTATCATTGTGGGATTGTTTTTATGCCCTCAGTGAAATTTAAAATGCAACAGAATCCTACTGTAGAAGTTGATGCTATGAGATAATCATTACACCTGTGTTATAGGTAGCATGAGAAAGACATTGAGAAAAACTGTATCACTAGGACATGGTGTGACATAATATGACAAAAAGTAGATAAATCATAAGCTTTTTTTTCCTGAAACTTAAGTCCTCCATAATAATATATCATTTTATCCTCCTGCTATTGGCCTTTATTAACGTAAGCAAGATAAGCAAGTTCTTTAGCAAGACCTCCATCAAAACCTTTCTGCAGAAAGACACCCTTGAGTTACTCACTGGCA